GATTTCAATCAGGAACTGCTAAGTTTGGAAAACCTTTAATGGTGTTAATTTGCCAAATATAGGTGTAAAACAACAGGGCTCAAGTTTTAGCTCACAGGCTCCATGGCAACATTATACTTCCTGCATAGATCCCCTAGAACGTTACTAACATAATACCTGAAGTACATTTTGCTGATGATACACCTGTTCCTGAGTACTTCAGTACAATTTTGAATGCAAGGCTTTTACTCCTAATGGTGTATTTGTTCATTCAGGTACTTTGACTTGAGTAAAATATCTAGTAGTTATTCCACCACTGGGGAGTGAAAGCAAATTGCTGTATGTGATTGAATAGATAAATTCTGATTATTGGCTAAATACTCCTGGTATACAGTCCAGTGTGGTTGCATAATGCAGTCAAATATGAACCAAGTCATTTAACACATTTTCAAGATTTTTTTTATTAAAAATATTCAAAACAGTTTGAAAAATACTTTCTCTAACATTTAAAATACATTACTATTACATATGAAATAACATATCAAAGCTGTGAGTGGCTGCTATTGTCTTTAAGGTGAGGTTAAACACAACAACTGCAAGCAAATACCGGTAGTCACTTGCTACGGTAGACTTGTGTGTTTGTCCTTTTCCGGGATTCTGAAACAATTGTAATTACATATTTTCCTGAATTCAAAATTGGTCTTTGTAAGTGCCCCTGGATAGTATTTTCACACAGTGTCACACAGTGCCAACAGAGTTCAGTGTCCAAATGACACCCGTGACAATTTCCTGCTGTTCTCATAGGCTTTTCCTGAGGATCAGTTGGACATACGAATGCAATAAGCACCAAAGGAAAGTTTTTTTTATGATCTGGAAGAGATTCTGCACTTCCATTTCATGAGTCTGTATAATCTGAGCTCACTGCTCACACTCCCTTTTTGTTCTGCAGGCTCAGAGCTCCGTTCACGCAGTACGGGATGATACTGACAGTGACCAGAGGCACTGTGGCGCTCTTGCAGAAGGACAGCAGGTAGAAGAGGGCTGCCGTGTGCGTGGGAGGCTTGAAGGAGTCAAACAGGTGCAGCAGGACCAGGGAGCTGATGACGCACCCTGCTTTGACCAACGTGCTGCTGCTCTTCTTGGTCTCCGTGTACAGGGGCGAGTGCAGGCCCAGGCCCAGGCCGAACAGGGTGCCCATGTTGCGCAACAGGCTGGCGAAGGGCGTGCTGTCCAGGTGGACCCACTCAGGCTTCACGCACCACTTCTGGGCTTTCTCCAAGGTCCACAGCAGGTCCACACCCAGAGCTTTGAGCAGGAGGTAGAAGCCAACAGCGAAGGAGGTCAAGAAGAGGGTCGTGTAGAAGTATTTCTTCATGCTGGCGTTGTAGATCCACTGAGTTCTGTTGAAGGCTTCAGCCACGATCATACCTAGAATCCATTGAAACGTCCAGGTCAATATTATGTGTTATAATTTAGCATAAAAACAATTTACCCTTCCTAAGCCCTGCCCCTTTCAGGTCTGTGCTCCAATAACAGTTGAGCAAGTTTCGGTCAGAACCTCGGTCATCTTCCTCCTCTCATGATGTGCTACAAACTCGTCTATGTGAGAAGACATTTAAAATATAAAAGCTACATATATACAGTATATATATATATATATATATATAGATATATATATATATATAGTTGGCTTGGTTAAGGCTCATAACTTTTGGTTAGGCTTGTGTTGCTAATATTAGCTACTAAGCTGTGACTATATTGTCATTTCAGCTTTTAAGACCACCTTCAGACTATTTTTTTTTAAGTACAGGGAACAGAGGAAGGGTCTGGTCCGCCCCGGGTTTCCGCAGAAAGGAGAAAGTCGTCCGCGGTTCCAGGGGTGGGATTTAGTAAGGGTCAACAGTTTTTTGTCCGTTTTTTATGGGGTGTACTGACCTGTGATAACACCAGCAATGACCTGGTGGGGGAAGTGGGCGGCAATGAAGACCCTGGAGAGACAGACACACACCTGGACTCCCCAAAACAGCGTCCACAAGCCAGCCTTCAGATACCTTTCAAAATACAAAATCAGACATCTTGGATTATTTTATTTTGAAACAGGCAAAACTGAAAGTGCAACACCTGAGCTTTAAATCAGGCTGGCCTTTGCTATTACCATCACCCAGAACAGGCAAGTCAACCTTTTAAAGCAATATAACAATTAACACAGTCATGGTTTTTTTGCTGCCTGGACGTCAAAACAAGCCATGTATAATCCCTCTTTCTGGCCAATAGTTCTCAGAAGTAAATGATCAACCACAGCACAGGACAGATAGTGTGTCCACAGCGATAAGCTCTGGATGGAAAATGGTAAACAACACTGACACAAGTGTGGACCAGAGAGTACACATGTACTGACTCAGACTACACAGATGAGTTCAGTGACTCACCAGTCCTTGTTGGTGGATTTCTTGCTTCCATATTTCTTCTTGCTGGTCATGATGGCGAGGATGGAGGTCACCAGGGTGTAGTAGACACCGGCGGCTCCCATAGCATGGCCAGAGGGGCTGCCTGGATAACACAGACAGAGTGGGTAGATATTAGTGGCTGATTCACTCGAGGAGAACAATGACTGCATTGTTCATTTGTTGTACAATCAATCAAGTACTGCACTTACGTACAACACTGTAACATAAATGGATAACATCAAAACTTTGAAGTACCACAAACTCAATTTTGTTAGTCAAAAATATATTCTTGATTAAGTAAGCCTACCCTTTATTAGGTATTTTGTTTTTTACAGTACAAATAAAAATTACAAATTTGAAGTCATTGTCACTTAAATTTACTAAAGCTATTTGAACAAGAATGTATTTTTTAACTTAATAAATTAAGTTAGTGTTACCAAATGTAATCGATGTAATCAGTTTACACCATTTTGTGAGTTAAATGAACTTATCTGGTTTTGCAATGAATATTGATGTACTTGAGTATTTTTATTTAATGCTACTTTATATTTGTACTTCACTACATTTCAGAGGGAAATATTGCTCTTTGAACTCCATTACATTTATTTGAAAGTTTTAGTTAATAGTTATTTTCAAATTGAGATTTCTCCTTTAAAATCATATTAAGCTTTTAAAATACAACATTTACAAATAAACAGTGTTTAGTTGGAGTCCCTTGTCACAGGTTTCAGTTAGCAGTTCCCCTATAAGCCTTTACATTTTGATGATAATACATGCTTTAGAGCACTTTTGAATGCATTACTGACTATTTTTACATTGTTGTATTGGTACTTCAGGTTACAAGTACAACTTTCACCACTATTTGAAGACAACCTGTGCATATTTATAAAGCTGTATTACAAACTTCCAGTTCACTGTTTAATTCATTGTAATTTTGTTTGGGATTATGGGCATATGCACCATTGGTCCTGCTTTATTACTTGATCTTGAGGTCCTGGGTCAAAATCTAGCTTGAAGACCCTTCATTTTGCAGCTGATATTGCACCCACATAAGTAAATTGATTTGCATTTAATCAAATGACGGCAAGGTAAACCTGGGGCCATGTAATACCCCAGTAACAATTGTATGTAATGCACAGATGCCTAGTATTTCTCACCTGGCCCAGTCTCACAGGTCATGGGGTACTGCTCAATGTGAGGAGGAACAGTGTTTGCATAATGAGCTGCCTCATGGACCCACCAGTAAGGCCTCTCCCCAAATAGAATCCTGAAGAAGACAACAGAAACATGCACTTGGTTATAGTCTAGTTAGTTTTTATGTGGCTTTGCTCAAGAACATGTAATTCAAAGATTTACTTGACTCACCATTTGAACACCAGGTTCAGCCAGTCTCCGATCACTGCTACCCAGATGAGCTTAATGCCCACTGAAGCCCGCAGGTGAAACCAAAGCGGGAAGAAGATGAAGAAGGTGTTCCTGAGGTCTGCTGCCCAGGAGACCCAGAGAAACAAGCCCTGGGCATCCTGATAGTTGGTCTGCAGGTAGTGGGTGGTGCTCACCCCAAAACCCTGTATGGCGTCCATTATAGCATTCATCTTAGCGAGAGAGAGGTGTCTCAGTCTGGTGATGTGTGAGTGAGTGACAAAAAGACTGTTGCTATCAGTAACACAGCTGGTTGGTTTTATACCAGAGGGACCCACTACCCAAACGCATGCTCACGCTGATCTTTGGACCTTGCACATGTGTAATAAAACACTGGGAGTCCGGAGAGTTTCAGAGGTTTGTCACACAAACAAGTTGAAAAGATAGCGGGAAAAGAAAGCCTCACTCATCTTTATCTTTCTCTCTGAACTACGTAGCACAGAGAGGAAGTCAATTGACCAATGGCTAAATTTCACAATTGTGACATAAATTATCACAAGCAAAGCAGCAGTTGGCAGGGTTACATTTGCTTTCACTAAATTCCAAATTATTTTAATATCAGCTATTAATATCTTAAAACAAATAACATACGTCGAGTACTTTTATAGTGCTTCGGTTGAGGCTAAAACTGACTACAGGGATATTTCTTTAACATTATTTTTTTTCCCTTTTATGGAAGCTCAGAAAGGCAAGTGATTTTTTTTTCTCAAGTTTTTCCTTATTTTATGTTATTTTCAGATTTGAAAACAGGTGAAAAAAATCTGCTTTTAAAGCACCGATGGAAAAAAATTAAAGTTAAAAAAATTATTGAATCTATGTATGTACCCATTCATGCAGCCACTGCATAATAATTTGTCAGTTATGTAATTGTGTTTTTGATGATTTGGTGAAAGAAAAATCTCGTTGGTGGAGGTAGTGTGAGTTACATAAGGAGATCAATGATTAAATTATTGGGTTTGGACTGAGTAGAAGCTGAGGAGATAGTCGGTGATAAAACAGAAAAAGGTTGTAGGTCGTGTACAAGTTACTGCTCTGTCATGACAAACAGGGCTGGCAGTGAAGCTCAAAATGAGCTCAGTTTATCTTCCGAGAGATCCGAGATCTAGACATGTATTGAGACACATGTACAAATAGTCTGCAAATAAGTGTAATGTCCACATTAAAATCTCTTAAAAAATTCAAGAATCTATGAATATGCAAATTGTGTTCATTTCTAAAGTTTTCCTGCTGGACACAAGATGTCTCCTCCTTCACTGTAAAGTCCATTCTCAGTGTATCACACTGGGGGAAGCTGATATTGGACCAGGTTGACTTCCAAAATATTTGTGGATTTCACAAATCACATTTATAGGCCCCCCCTTAAAATCACATTTTTCAGTGGAGCGCAGAGAAACTTTTCCACTTTTTAGCAGATGAATGTGAAAACATCCTTCTTAGTGTCAAACTCTGACACGGTGAAGACTTAAATGGGGACTTAAATGACGCACTCTACAATATCAATGGGACACAGAGGATCAATTGTGAGCCAAGATCAATAGATTTCACAAGCTAACTGGCTGGAACTCAAAACAGACTTCATTTTTGTTGATCAGAGGAAAAAAAAAGTTTTCCTAGAAATCTGTGATCTGTAAGAGGGGCAGCAGCTGAATTCTGTAATGATGGACTTTAGCAGAGGGGGCCTCAGGGGTGTAAAGGTTAAGGAACTTGTCTGCACTGTCCCAAAGGCAAACAAATTTGCTAGCCTTGAGTAAAGTCCAATGGGGCTCACACAGTGGCAGAGCAGAGGCGACAAAAAAGACTAAACGTCCCAGAGTCCTCAGGCAAGCAGAGGTTGTGTTATCATGGATCTTCTCCACAGTTGGGGGGTTGAACTGGCGGTTCATCTGCAGACCAAATACAGCAGGTATGATGGCTTGTTTAGCCTGGCGTCCACTGTGGCCGATCTGCACACCACGTTCTTCTGCTTCTTCCCAATCTGGTTCCACCTGCGGAGGGACACCGGGCTCAGGCTCATCTGGGTGGCTGTCCTCGGAGATTGGCTCAACTTGGTCCTGAAATGGTAACCTGCTCGAATCAATCCAAACACATAAAGAGAAAGAGAGAGGTTGCATTTCGTGTTTCTTGGTCTTTCCATGGCAGGGTTCTGTTTGGGGAGAGACCGTACTGGTGGGTTCATGAGACCCGGTTTTATGGAGCTGGACCGGTCCCGTCTCTGCAGCAGTTTCCCATTACTTGTGAGACTGGACCAGGTACAGTAGATGACAGACCTGATCACATGATGATTGTAACAGTAGAATGACTTACCTGGCACAGTGACCCATCAGCCTGGTTAATACTTAAGTGTATTAATGCCAGATAATATCTGTAGTGTCTGGCGAGTGAACATGGCTTTCTTGAATGAATATCATCTCATTAATGTGATAACTAGGTTATAAACTCCAGTACCTTTAGCCTTTTGTAGCGTTTTTTATCTTTTAATCTGTGTAAAGAAAATTGAGTCTGTATTATACAATGTCTCCTTTTTGTCAATGGTTGTCAAAGTACATTTACTCAAGTGCTGCACTAAAGTATACATTTTAATCCTCTATATTTCAGATGGAAAAAAAGATTTGACATACAAAACAAATGAAGAACTCGTAAAAAACATAACATAAAATATGATGCATTGTTATAGATTAAATATGTGTACTTGCAGGTGAAAGCAATGCTAATTGCAGAAAGTTAAAGTAAATACAAGTTGGTCTGGGTCTGACTGCTGTAAATGTGATTTGAGGATTTTATGTAAAGTGGATTTCTTTAAACTTTACTCACTCCAAAATGGGATATTATAACCACAATAAATCTGTACTGCAAATGATTTGACCTTTATTGCTTTGAAATTGCATCTCTGAAGATGAAGCTGTATTTGATAAACCCAGAGTCTGTTCCTTGCAGGAAGCCCTTCAGGTCATGCTATGGGTGCAGCTGGCGTCTGGTATGTGATGGTAACAGCGCTGCTCTCTATTGCAACAGAGAAGCGATGCCCGCCTTTACTGTACAGGTGAATCTGTGGTAAAACAACCATTAAAAAACTGGCCCTTACGTGCCAAACCCTGAACCTTGTGCACTCATATTCAGTATTCACCCTCTGTTAGATTCTTGCAGGTAGGCCTGTGGATGCTAATGGCCCTGGTAGTGCTGGTGGTCTGCATGTCCAGGGTCTACATGGCTGCCCACTTCCCACATCAGGTCATTGCTGGAGTCATTACAGGTTGGTCTCCCCAAATAATCGATATCGATAAGATCGATTCATTTTGTAGGGATGGAAGTTTTTTTTTTTTGAAGATTTACAGTATATTTGGCTATTCTGAGAACATTTTGATTTAGTCTGTGGATGTGGTCTGTCTCAGGTGTACTTGTAGCTGAGGTGGTCTCAAAGGAGAAAGGGATCTACAGTGCCAGCTTGAAGAAGTACTTCTACACAACCCTCTTCTTGACCTCATTCGCTGTTGGCTTCTACCTCCTGCTCAAAGCTCTGGGTGTGGACCTGCTGTGGACCATGGAGAAAGCCCAAAAGTGGTGTGTGAAGCCCGAGTGGGTCCACCTGGACACCACGCCCTTCGCCAGTCTCCTGCGTAACATGGGCACCCTTTTCGGCCTGGGCCTGGGCCTGCACTCGCCCCTTTACACGGAGACCAAGAAGATGAAAACAAGCACCGGTTTCAAACTTGGATGTATTGTCGTCTCCTTATTTCTGCTTCAGCTGCTGGACGGATGGACATTTTCTTCTGAAAATCTTGTGACTTTCTACTTCCTGTCTTTTGGTAAAAGTGTGGTTGCACTTTTAATCCCAACCACTCTGATTCCCTGGGCTTTCTGCTGGATTTGCAAGGAGAAGAAAGAAGACAAGAACTTGTGATTCAGGTCCAACCTGTAGTTTAAAACTAAATTACTAGTTTAATGTCAGTTTAAGACACAAGGACATTTAGACTTTCATAACGTAACAAGTTATTGCGCTGGCCTGGATATCAGTTCCTTAAAGGAATATGTACTGTAGTCTGACATTTTGGGAAATAGCCGGTTAGCTTAGCTTAGCGTGGAAGCAGCTAGCTTGGTTTTGTCCATAGATAAAAATACCAACCAGCACTTAACACGTAAAACACAGCGCTATTTCTTGGCCAGGAGCATCGACTTCCTTGCAGTCTCAGCTGAACGCCTGGCAACCTCACAGTAAAACCACAGATCCTTTTTACACCTAAACAAATAAGATATATTTATTAGTGAGCTTTAGATGTGTTCTAAACAGATTTAGTTACTTTTAGACAAAGCCAGGCTAGCTCATCCCGCCTGTTTCCAGTCTTTGTGCTAAGCTAGGCTAACTGCCTCCTGGCTGCCAGGCTCCATACTTAATGCACTGATATAAAACTGGTCCGGGAATCAAATTATAGTTGTTTATTTTTGTCTGTATTTGGCCTTCAAGGTCTCTCATTGTTGTCATGTATACAAATATACACACACTTCAGCAAATAAAAGTGCTTTTTCAGCTTATTAATGCATAAATGGAGGAAGAATATTGCAAGCAATTTCAATAAAAATATAACCATTTGCTTTCTATAAAGACTGTGTTTATTTTAGTGGTTATTTAAGTGCTGTGCTTCCCTATCGGGTTTCTCCAAATGTCTCAGACTGATACTGATTAATTCTCTGGCAGGAACAACCATTAAATATTAACCAGAGCATGCTCCCGTCACTCGGCAAGTCCCACATAGTGACACTGCCTTTCACCACAGCCATGCGCTTTTAAAAGAGGCATGGCGGGTCAAGGGGCAGAATGCGTTACAGACAACACGTGTGTCCCTTAAGGCTCTAAAAGTAGTACATTGTTCATGCGACATATCAAAGGAACTTCGGATGTGTGGTAATGAGATCAGCAGGATTGCAGAGAGAGACACACCTCTGCAATTCTGCTAATTAGATTATAAAACAATTTTGTAATTTGCAGAGTGTCACCTGAAGTCACTGAAAACAAAGTTAATCCCAATTGTACACAATAGACAGACTGAAGGGGAGAGGGAAATGTGAGACCGCTTTTGATGACATAACAATCCTAGCCCTGTGACATTTTCCACCTGCAAATCCCAAGTCTCCTTTTTAACCATCTTATCTCTGATGGCCCTCTTAACTCTTTTCCTGTGTTTATCTCATGAAGCCATATCTATATGATGCTGCTCTGTATGGGCAGGCTGCATTGTGGGAGACAGACGGAGGGGAGAAAAGGGAGGGGAAAGTCAGGAGGGACGGACACTACAGGACCATTGACCAACAATGATTACATCACTTAATATTTATCTGAAATTGGTTGTTCTTCTCAATTTATTTTGTCCAGAGTTAGAAAGCACGTCAGATGTAGTGGACGTTAAAAAGATATTTAGTTAAGTCTGTATTTATTTTCATTTTAGTCTGCACAGAAATAAAGATGGACTGACTGAAGAGGCAAATTGGAGAAAATGGGGCAAAAGTTACCTTGTAAAGGGTGAATTGTTTTGGAGATGACTCACATCCGACTAGAAGAAATAGTTTTTGACCAGCTGGAAACACGCACTAGTATTTACAGCCCTACTTTCAGCAATAACAAAATAAAGAAAAATAGAAATGCTGCGCAAACCTGTAGCTGTATTGTTAATGAATTATAAGCATATTTAGTTTCCTCGACAGATTTATTTATGATGTTGCATCTTTACTACAAAGAGCAATGTGTTTTATTACATTTTATTTAATAGATTCTAGCATCTTTTTAGGATATTACTGTTGCTAAAACTACATTCTAAATGCTAATTTCTTTTACTTGAAAAACATGCAGAGTTGGGGAAGGAACCTTTTACTGCCGAGCAGTGCCTGCAGGTCTTCCCTTTACGCAGCATACAGCCCTCCACCAATCAGGTAGGACAGCCTGTATGTAGCTTGAGAGGTGACATAACATCAAAATAAGCATTAAAAAATACTCAAAATAAAAGTACTTCTTCAGAATGGCTCATTTCAAAATGTATTACTGGATTATAAATATAGATGCAACAATAGTCATGTATAGTCACATCAAAGATAAGATTTGAGTCAAGACCATAATAATGCCATTAACAGTCAGTAAAATAAATTGTAATGTGATTTTCTGGGGATTTGTTAAACAATTCAAACATTTGAATTTGTTTTATGGAGTAAGACAAATGTGCATTTTGTGCTTATTAACAAATAACTACATTTTCAAAAACTATTAAATATACAGGTTTTTTTGTTCAGTTTAGTGTGTGATGTCTTCCTTTGTGTTGATACAGTGGTGGTAAATGCCACAGTGACATCTGCAGGCCAAAAGGGAACATAACCACTTAATGCTTCCTTCCCTTAATGGTTATTTTACTGTGCGCCTTAACTCAAACATACGGATGTGTGAATGAGCATCTCGATAGGTGCATACAAACCATTTATCTGATATCCAATAAGCAATTTGTGCAAACACAAAAATGTCAAAAGGAAATTCAAAATCTCTTATCAAAAATGTTTTATTCAATAGAATCAATGCCTCAACATTAGAGATGCTTCGGTGACTTATGAATTTTCACTGAAAACCAATAAGCCTGTGGACCTAAAACCTGCTTAGCTTTCATATTTGTTACGACTGAACTGTGTATGTAGAACATTCGGAGAAACAAACAAACTGATTTTGTGTTGCGTATCCTATAAACGACCATACTCCAGATGTAGCAGGAGTCAAACGTAAGACTTAAATAATAATAATAAAAAAAAAAAGAGTAAACATTCAGTGAAGCAGTGGGCGGGAAACAAACCACTTTGCTCTGAATTTGTCTTAAGAGCTATAAATGAAGCAATTTCACAAAGATCTGAGGACGAAATGTTTAATTAAAATTAAAAAATACATAGCGCTTTTTGTTGTCTATGATCTATCTCCCCATTTTCTGAGAGAATATTTATGTCTTCAAAGGGTTTAAAACAAAAAAAAAATATTTTACATTTAAAACAAAAACATGTGCGTTGTGTCCTTCTATGGAAGCTATGTTTCTGTACTGGGCTGACTTGATTGTACTGAAGTAGGTGAATGTCTAGATGTAGTCCTGTGGACCAGGGCCAGGCTACTGTAGCTGGACAGGCATGGCAGGGAGACGGGGGGTGGAGGCGGGAGGTGGAGGCGGGAGGTGGAGGCTGAGGCTGAGATGGCTGGATGAAAATCAGTACAGTGCATCAGCATTACTGCTTCGTGGCCTCTTGATCTTCTCAATGTTCTTCAGGATCATGTCGTGTAACGTTACCTTCAGAGAAAAAAAACAATACTTTCATTAACCTGTCAGGTGTATGCCACTATAAAATAAACTTTAAATGGACAGTGCATCAATACGTACATATTGATTTCGGAGCTCCGAAACTATGATCTTCAGACTGATGTATTCCTTCTCATCAATCTCGGTTACTGTGCGCCGATAGTCCTCCTAATAAAAAGAGTTAAATGTATTTGATATTAAAATAAATATTAGCTAGCCAGACTCTCACAGTGAAAATCAAAAAAGGTCCACACAGCTTTTTATTTACTGGTTTGTGGTCTGAAAAGACCAAATTAAAAAAGGTCCAGTGTGTAGGATTCAGTGGCATTTAGCGAGGTAGTTTCTAGAACCAGTTTTTGGTTTGCCCATTCTGCCGTGTCTGTAGATAAAACCGGCTCATTCTTAGGTAACTAAAACACAAGGATTCTTATTTTAATGTGATTTCTGCCAATGGATCCTCCTAAATGTTACACACTGGACCTTTTTACTTGAATTTCCCTCGGGATAAATAAAGTATCTATCTTTAACGTTTATGAAACCACATGGGGAAGCACGGAATCAGCACATCATCAGTATCAGATGATAAAGCCTTTCAAATGAAACATTGGCATCTTCAATTTCTCCCAATAGGACAGGCAGATAAGATTACTCTTGAATTCTGCTGTTAACTAGGCTAAATGCTAGATGCAGTGTCGCCCAGCACGAGGGAGATATTCACCCCGTCTGTGAGCATAAAGGAGGGACCAATATGTCTGAGGTGTGGAAGTCTTTTCCATCCATCACTACTCATAAAGAAAACAGAGTCGCTTAAAATGTTGTGTAGACTTTTTGATATCCACTGTATTCAGCGTTTTGTTCTCTCAGCACCTTCTGCTTTAATTCTTTTTAGATAATATTCACTTACCACGTGTGGATATTTAGCTATTTTAGAAACCAGCTTTGCCCTTGTGATGTAGTATCTAGAAGTAAAGACAGACAAAATGTTAGCTCTGACAGGTAAACCTGCAAAGCAACGCAGAACCAATCTTGTAAATTATTTTAATAAAAATACACAAACAAGTAAACAAATATTACGAAAAAAGCAAAGCGATCTGACGAGGCACCAGTTTCATGCCTCAGAGCGTATTACGTACAATATGGTTTGGACTAACCTTGATATCTGGTCGAGGTAAGATGCTGCCTCCCCTTCAACTGTTCTGAGCTCAGCTACTGTCTCCTCCTGGATGGACACCCCAAAGTTGTTGCCATCCTCTATCCTGGGGATAAGCAGCTGAACCCACATTTTGACCTGCAGAAGAAAAGAGAACGGCTAAGAAAAAAGAGAATGCAACATCTGGGAGGCTATCAGTGAAGTCAAGATGTACAGAAGCCGTATCCACAACACTTGCCTGGGAAGGGAAGCTCGAGAAACACGAGACCTTCATGCATTCCTGTGTTTGAGCTTCACATCTTAAAGCTAGAAAACTAATCACAATTGTTCTCCTTATAAATCATGTTTCATCAATAAATAATCTTTATTTTACACATTTCCAGCTGTATTGCTACAGTTCATGTAGGCAGTAATGTCGGGTTACTGCTGCCAACCTTTTGGTCAGATAAACTACTGGTGTGTGGGTGTGTGTGTGTGTGTGTGTGTGGCCGGCCCTTGGTTAAAAGACATTACTTACTGTGTTACATTTCTCTATGAGTGTCCTGATCTCTGGTTTGACCTTTTCAATGAGATCGACAAGGTTTCCGTTGCTCTTCATCATTCCACCGGGCATGACAAAGACCTTGGTGCCAGTCACTGGGTGACACAGAAAAAAGGAGAAAAGGAGGGTAAAAGAAGGATTGACTAATTATTATACATAGAGGATGCCATACGATATCCTGTCAGTCAAAGGATCACTCATATCCAAACTTAAGGATGCTGTAAATCAAACCACGATTCCAATTCACATCAATATTCTTGATCGTGGGACTTATTTAAAATTGGATCTGTCTATCCAGAAAAAAAAAATAAATAAATCTACGATTCAATTAACTTTAAATCTACTTTAACTACTTGTCCTTAAACTCACCTGTGTCCTCCCCTCCATCCTCCAGCTTTCTCTTTTTGGCATTTTGCTGTGAAACAGATGAAACGGGATCAGGATTGTGATTATCATCATTCTCAGCAGCAGCACGGAAGATTTAATTCATATCTAAAAGAAGTCTCACCGCTTCTAGTCCGTCATGCAGGTTTGAGAGCAGGATGGGGTCTGGCACCGTCAGGTTTATCTCAGAGTGGATCTCCTTCAGTTCAGTGATGTTTATGATGGGATCCTGAAAAACAACGACACTAGGCGAGCTATTTTTTTTATTTTTTTATGAGTAATGCTCTGTGCAAGATTAAATGATATGAGACTATTCAAATTTGATAGTTTAATAAGTCAGCGTGACTTGTGGGCAATGTTAGAAACCAAGTGCTTAATGGCAGTGATGGATTTTTTTATGAGTTTTGCATCAGTGTGATGAAATACCCCGATTGTCAGCCATTTGATTTGATGGATTAGACAAAAACATTTATGTTAGATTCAAACAATCTCACCACACAGTCCATT